TTTACCAATTATCCAAATAATGTTTAGTCCTAGAAAGCTATTATTATCAGAACACGTGAGCATAACATAGCGGTTAGCAGATCAATGAATGAGAGGGCAGAGTTACCAGAGTTGCCCATATACCACACCATGTTACAACACAGTAGGGCTATTGCAGACAGAAACAATACTGTACTACATCGATGTTTCCTGTCGGCTCAATTTTTGAGTGGACTTTGCTGTTCCGATGAGCATGAACGGTATATGAGTGGAGCTGAGTGGAGCGCACACGCATAGAGGGGGATACGCAGAGCGTCACACCACGTGAAAGTGAAACCTGAGCGGTGAACTAATTATCGGCAGCTGGATTTTCGGTGCATCTCTAATTATTGGCGACATCAGAAATGGATATTATATAATAGATGCTTTTTTGAACATTTTAGCAATTTAAAAATATTAAAAAATTATTTTTTACATGGCACCCCTGCTCTCGACAGACGGCACCCCAGGGTGCCGCGGCACCCCGGTTGGGAAACACTGCCTTGAATCACCATCCATTTGTATGACATGAGGGTGAATAAATTATGATAGAATCTAATTTTTTTGTGATCACATAAAAATGAACATTTCTTTCATTATTTACTCACCCTCAAGAGTTTTTGTGGTGAACACAAAAGAAGATATATTGAAGAATGTGAGTCCCCATTGACTTCCATAGTATTTTTTCCATACTATTGAAGTCAACGAGGACCAACAACTGTTTGGTTACCCACATTCTTCATAACATCTTATTCTGTGTTCAGCAGAAGATAAAAACTCATACAGGTTTGAGTAAATGATAACAGAATTTGCATTTTTGGTTGAACTGTCCTTTTAATATTTTAAGTGTGACTAAATTCTTAGTGTTTTTAAAGTTATTGTCTGACCTGAAGATCTCATTCTTGCTAGTTATCTCTGTATCCTGGCACTGTTTACAGCAGAGAGAGGTGCACTGTAAGGAAACATGAAGTGCAAACATTTTTTTAGCTTTTTTCACAATATTACAATGCATAAAACAAACTCCTGGACAAAAAGAGACTTACATAAACATTTATAGACAGAGGCAACCATACACATACACACCCTGTCCATGATGTCCAACTCACAACGCAGTCTCTGGATGGCACTGCCAATTTTCAGTAGCTGCAGTCGCAGAGCATCATCTATTGGTAGACACGCGGCCACCCTGTATGAGAAATCTGCAGGGAGAGAGACACTCTCTAACTACTTGACTGTGTGTGTGAGCCTGAGAGCATCTGTGTGCCTGAACCCAGTGTGTACCTGTGGGATTCGTAGGCAGGGACTCGTCTTTGAGGTTTTCATCCCATTCATGGAGTTGTTTCTTGACTCTGCTCATGAGAGTTTTCTAGAGAGAAACACATACACAAGCATCAGTGCTAAAATGTTGTCACTGTTATTATAAAAATGCTGATGATTTTTTTTAATTGTACATTTTCAGAAACATTTGTCAAAAGTACTGTTCATTTCTAAGTGTAAAAAAAAAAAAATCACACCTTTAAGGCTTACGATGCAAAATTAGCATTTGAAAAATGTATAAAGTAAAATGTATAATATAATAAAATGAATAATAAGAGATCAAACTCACAGAGTCATATAAGGCATACACCCAAGGAGGCCATGAGGTCATACTAGCACAATTAATCTTCTTCTGTGAAAGAAAGTGAGAAGTGAGAAAATTAGAGCATATTACATATTAAGCAAAATGTATGTTACTTATGACTTACAAGGATGACTCAACATTTTAAAAGTTAATATGTTTTGCAATGGCAAAACAATAAAAAAGCAAAATAACTGTGATTCCAGAACGTTTAAGAACTGTGTGTTCTTTAATAAAAACAATAGTTAATGAGTAGGAAAATCATTTACATCAGTTACCTGTCTACAGATCTGGCTGCACCGGTCCTGCGGTGGTGTTGTTTGTGAGTGTTTGATCTGTGGTGTGTGTGTATGTAAGCGGGGCAGGAATTGCAGTGCACATAAAGGGTCTGGCAGAATCCTCTCAGGTAAAATCTGTACTTTTGCCTGACGAATCCTGCAAAAACAAAAATGTGTGCGTATGGCAGTGTCTCTTTCACATTCCATTCCTGAATTCAATGAAAAATAGCATGGTGGTTTATTACTACAGTACATTTTGTGGATGGCACATTGTAGTACCTAGTGAAAGCATGTGTATAGCCCTACCCATCTGCTTGTGTGCGTATTTCATGCACTCTGAAGCGCTGGCGTCCAACAGCTTTGATCTTCACTGTCTCTATGCCGTACTCCTGTTCTTCACGAAAAGCATAGATCTCTGCAGTCGTCCCAAACTCTGCTTTTATCTCCACTCCACTCGCATCAGGACTGGGAGAGATAGAAACACGTCAAACTGCAAAGTGCATGTAGAAATGTAAGAAATATAAATACACCTGCAAACCCTCCACTGCAACCTGCTTGGATAATGTTCTCGAAGAAGAATCAAAGGTATGTGATCATTAATGTGGAGTAGTTATTATTCTGCACCTTGTGTCTGTTGATACCTGTGTGCAAGCACTGCAAACGTGCGGTCTTGGCTTATGAGGTTGCGGAACATGCTGACCTCCTGTGGTCGGAAAAGCTGCAAGGGTAGCGTCTGACCTGGGATCAGAATGAGTGTGACGTGGGGAAGAACTGGCAGATTCTGCACACTGTCCTCATCATGCAGGGTACGGCCGTGAAACTCCTCCATGTCTGAGCCCAGATACTTCACAACATACACACAAACATAGACAAACATGCAAAAAGAGATTGCGATTTTATATATATATATATATATATATATATATATATATAGTAATACTTTGACCATCAGCTACTTGCATATTATGTGGATGCTAATGAATTCAAAATGTATCAATAAGGTGCTATATACTTCAAATGATTTTAAACATATTAGCCTCAGGTCAGGTCACATGACTGATGTTTAAATTAGTGCTGTCAAAAGAATTAATCGCATCCAAAATAAAAGTTTTTGTTTACATAATATATTTGTGTTTTCTGTGTTTATTTAAGTATATATATCCAAAATAAAAGTTTTTGTTTACATAATATGTGCGTGTACTGTGTATGTTTATTATGTATATATAAAGACACACAGCATATATTTTGAAAATATTTACATGCATTTACGTGTATATATTTATATTCATATAAATTATATATAAATATATTTAATATATAAATGTAACACATTTTTCTTAAATATATACAGGCATGTGTGTGTATTTTATTTATATATACATAATAAATATACACAGTACACACACATATATTATGTAAACAAAAACTTATTTTGGATGCGATTAATCATGTTAATCATTTGACAGCACTAGTTTAAATGTACTGTTGACAGATGACACTCACAGCGTGTGAAGTTGGCAGACTCGTGTCAAAGTTTATAATACTTGGCTTTTCTGCATCCTCACCATCTCGATCCTCAGTCTCCATGTCATCCTCTTCATTTTCTGTAGAAAAACAGAAAGATTAGAGCTAGAATATCATTTCACTTATCCCAATAAACATCACATCATGTTTATTCATTTAGGACAGAAGAGAACTGGTCCCCCAAACTGAGTCTGGTTTCTCCCAAGGATTTTTCCCTCCATCTCTGTCACCTCATGGAGTTTGGGTTCCTTTCCATCCTGTCTTTGACTTGATTAATTGGGGTCTAACAGACACTTAATAATCAATAATATATTATCGATTTAACAGAACTGACACTATTGGATGACAACAAAATTTCAACTAATTCATGAATTTTGCAACATCAACGCTGGTATTAAACTGAATTTAATTCCTTTTTAATATGAAGCTGCTTTGAATCGATCTCTATTGTATAAAACACTATAAAAAATAAAGGTGACTTCACTTGACTTATTATTTACTGTATTCCCTTTTAGCATTCACTTTCACTTTGTCAACTACATCTACATTTACAACCTATTTCAGTTTACTTTCGATTTTAATCATGCAGAGTCATTTGAGGACAACCGGGCATGCATAAAGCCATTAATAAGCAAAGTGCAAGCAAATATCTCATCTGGATAAATAACACAATGATTATAATAACGAATGTCTGTTGACAATACAATAAAACAACAAAATGCGTGCACGCTTCACTCAACAATGTTGTTGCAGCTATTAAGGCTACAGCAACGAAACGTGTCGTAGAATATCGTTACTAATTAAGTGTTTTACATAACAGGTGTACGCAGACACTTGAAGTTTGTAGAGAGCCCCTTTGTCAGCTGCGGATCTGGATCTGTCAGTAAAGATCTCCCTGCATGTTCTGAGGAGGACATTAAGCTGATATATATATATAAAAATATAAAAAATATATACTCCGTGTTTATTAGGAAACTAGCAGGCATACGTACCTGGCAGGAGTTGTAGTTGGTTGCCCATTTCGTCGTTAAGGTTGTTGTCGCCTCCGCCCCTCTCAGCAGCCATAGCCGTGTGTTTACAATCCGCTCTCAACTAGCGCAGCACTACCGTGAAGAGATGTGGGGAAAAACACACAGCGCCCTCATGTGAGTGGATGTCAGTGCTCCAGTGATTTTGACTCATTCTAGTGAATCGAATCTTTTTAATAAATAAATTAACTAAAAATATAAATTTAGTTGCGTTTTCAACAGATCAAGTTGTGTGGGTTAGAGAATCGTTTAATCAAACTAATTCATTACAGGTAAACCAAGGAAATCTTCTTGTTATGCTAAATTACAATTTCGAGGCTCTAGAACAGGGCTGTCCAAACTCGGTCCTGGAGGGCCGGTGTCCTGCAGAGTTTAGCTCCAACTTGCCTAAACACACCTGACTGGAAGTTTCTATGCATAGTAAGAGCCTGATTAGCTGGTTCAGGTGTGTTTAATTAGGGTTGGAGCTAAACTCTGCAGGACACCGGCCCTCCAGGACCGAGTTTGGACAGCCCTGCTCTAGAAGCAGCTTATTCCTCCACAAAATGAACTTCTGAACACAAGAACGAAACGAGATGCCGCCTTGCTCGTTTATTTCGTGAACAAATCTATTTTTTTTCTCGAACAAATCTTTTAAGTGAACGAATCGTCGTGCACGAAATAAACGAGCAAGTCGGCATTTTTTTTTTCGTGAAAAGTATCGTGTTCGTTAGCAGGTACGATACCGTATCGAAACGTTGAGTTAGCATAATTGTTTGTTTGTTAATCGCAATTAGACTTATTTCTTTTGGGAGTGCTGGGTGTATTAGTATCATACTTTGGTAAGTCTGCTGATATTTATGAATTTCTTTATGAAACCTTGTAAGCTCCAAAGTGCCATTGTATTGAAATTATGTAAATCAAGCATCATTTCTCGTTTTAATAAAACACACTATAATTCTAGCAAAACCTACAAAAAAATAAAATTAAATATATACCACATAAAATAGTAAATGTAGGCTTTGCTGTTCAAAACAAGCCTTTTTTAGACTTTGGTTTTCAAACATAGTGGAACATATCCATAGTTAGTGTGATGAACTACACCTGTGGTTGCTCTGCTAGGACACCTGTGTGAACTTGAGGAGTGGATTGATTAAAAAAAGTGAAAAGTGTCTGCACATAAATGTGCAAGTAAATAAATGTGACATTACTCATAAAGATAACTTAATAATTGTTTTTTTTTTTCTAGTACATTCACTTTGCATTTAAATGTTTTGAAAAGTGTATATTTATGTACTGGTTTGTTTATTATTCTCATTTGCTTCTCAGGTGGATGATGGCTACAGCAGAGCATTTATGCATAGTACTTCTGTTATGTGTGTGTGCCTGTACTTGTTTGAGTGACTATTACTCACTGCTTGGAGTTTCTCGCTCAGCATCTTCAAGAGAGATCAAGAAAGCATTTCACAGGCTGGCCCTTAAACACCATCCTGATAAAAACCAAAGTCCTAATGCACAGCAGATCTTCACACACATTGCTCAAGGTGTGTGTTTGGATGTAAAAGTATTAAAAAAATATTTACTATATTACTGAAGTATTTCATGATTAGTTTTGTTAAATTTTTCCTCCAGCTTATGAGGTACTATCTGACAGAGAGAAGAGACGAGTCTATGATCAAATGGACCACGTAACTAACCCTGATCAGGCCAGGGAGGGAAAGTTCAAGAAAGATGAAAAAGAGGATATGGACAGCAATCCATTTGTCGATAAAGGGACATTTCATAGTAAAAGGGGTTTCCAGCATTTTAGTTTAGAGGAGCTGCTTCATTCACTGCGGATGGATGATGACTTCTTTATGGGCGAACAACCTGGTTATGAAGGATGGAGTTTTATTTTTGGGGCTGAGGATGATGATGATGAAACGGTCCTCCTCAGTGATCTTTTCAACATGCTTTAATGTCAAGGGTTTGTGTATATTGACCACATTAAGTTAATATATTTATTAATTACATACATTTAAATAGCTTTTAAAGTGCTTTGCATATTTATCTTGCTGCTATGTTTATTAAATAAAACTTCAATTTAAACAAAAAATCTCTGCATAATTGTCATATTATTCTATAGAGAATGCCCTTTTAATCTTAAGTGATGTTTATGTTTTTAATTTAATAATTTTAAGAACATTCATTTCCAAAGATGGCAAGCTTCGGTGAGTCACCAACATAAGTAAGTTAATAAAGATTATATCCCACTCTTTTCAATCAATGTTACAGTTCATAGAAATTGATATGGATTTTAACACAGAGCTTTACCTGAACTGCACATTACCTACTGCAAATAACTATATGTTAAGGCACTAATTCTTTGTCAGAAATTATGAACCATAAATGTTAAAATCCCCTTCCTTATTTGTTTACAGTTGATATTTCCTTGTGTCAGTTCCTCAACCCTTCTTACTGGTTGGACTGTTTAGAAACACCTCACAATATTGAGCAAAAGTAAGTTGCTTAGAAATGTGTTTCATTGCTGCTATGAGTTCTCCAGTCAGAGCTGATGCATTAGCTAAAATATAATATGATATCCTGCTTCAACACATCATCATTGACTGGTAAACACATTCACATTTGCAGTGAAAACTGAACACACACACACACTGATGAATGATCAAAAGGACTGAAGCACAGATAACAGAATCTTTGATAAATGTTCAACCTACTTTATCATGCTCTGCATTTCCTGCTTGAACTGGGAAGGGTGGAGTGTTCAGGGTGTTTTTCCCCTCTTTGTTCAAACGATGAACAGTGATTTTGTGTCAGTGTGTTTGTCTCCACTTTGTGTGTATGTGTCTGTACTTAACATTTGTCTACAGCAGGTTTACTGACTGCTTACTTTAGCCTGATGACTACAAACCTGGGTGAGTCAGACACTGCAGATCCTCTGTGTGCCAGTGAGATAAACCACCTCCCTTGTTTTCTTGTTTTTTTTTTGGGACTGCGAATGAAGGAACCAGAATTACACATTCAGGTTATGACCAACTACTAACATTTGTCTACAGCAGGTTTACTGACTGCTTACTTTAGCCTGATGACTACAAACCTGGGTGAGTCTGACACTGCAGATCCTCTGTGTGCCAGTGAGATAAACCACCTCCCTTGTTTTCTTGTTTTTTTTTGGGACTGCGAATGAAGGAACCAGAATTACACATTCAGGTTATGACCAACTAGAACACTTTCAGGGTGCTGAGCCTAAGTGTGGTGAATATGAATCAAGGATAAGAAAATATTAATGTTTATTTATGTAGGTAGTGAGTGTAGAGGAGAAGAGGATATCATTAATCTTTTCCACCTTTGTTCAGTAGCCATTGCATATCCAAAAGCAGCATCCTGGAGATCTGAATATTATACTTTAGAAGAAATGAAAGGCGTAAAAATTAGAAATTTGACACTACGGAGACACTATGTATGATGTGATCCAATGTATTGTGTACACTTTCTTTTTTTTATTCTAGTTCATCACAAGTTTGTGACATAGTGATTTGCTAAAATCTGGAAGAAATAAAAACATTTCTGAATCCCATTCATGCTGCAATAAAGATGCAAACAGATAAACAGTCTAATACAGAATGACTTCTCATAATATTCCCATCTAAATACACACGTTTCTGCACTCAGTACCCAGGATATTACTAAAAAATCAGTCATTTTAGAAACAAGATGAACGCCTGTTTACGATCTATAGCAACAAACATTACATCCAATAAAATAAGTATTAAGTTAAAGTTATGTTTAAATACACACGTTTCTGCACTCAGTACCCAGGATATTACTAAAAAATCAGTCATTTTAGAAACAAGATGAACACCTGTTTACGATCTATAGCAAAAAACATTACATCCAATAAAATAAGTATTAAGTTAAAGTTATGTTTAAGTCTTATTTTTGAAGTAGGTTTTTACCTCTTTCATTGTACTTTTCTCCCGGAGAATTGAATGTTCATACTAACCCAGACTAAACTCAGGCTAAAGACGTTTGAGGAAGGAAGCATATTTCTGTAGAGCTGTTGGGAAAAGGTCATGGCCTTATTTAAGCCTATAGAAATGGCTTCCTACTATTAATCATAAATGTTAAAATAACAGTTGCCGATTTTACTCCTGGATCCACTCATTGGTCACTTCACAAGTTGCAGTTGAAGTTGACATCAACAAACAAATGATGCTAGACCTTTGGTCAATGCTACAGTAGCTTTGCTTTACTTAGCCATTTTTTGCATTTACAAACAGACACTGACATCTGAACTATGGTTTTAACCCGTGATCTTGACATTAGTATGAGAGATTTACATTAAAAGATATTCTGTAATCCCGATGCTGTTTTTCTGCATTCACTTCAGTGATCTAATCTGAATGTAAAAATCAGATTAATGCTCTTGTGTGTGTGTGTGTGTGTGTGTGTGTGTGTGTGTGTGTATCAGTGCATTACGGATTAGTTATGCTTAGTATGACTTTTTTTAATTGTCACTAGGGACAAGTTCATAGAAAATGAAATATTAGAACATAGAATATTCTGCTCTTTGGATGTCTGTTGTTGAGGAAGGTTATGCAGGATAAGAGAGCTATTTCCTGTAAAGCAAACTTCTGAAGGCCATACTCCCTCAAATATCTTTGACTGAAGTCCAGTTTCTATTTTGAATATTTATTTTAAATATGTATTATATTTATTATATATTGTGTGAGATACAGGCTAGGAAAAATCTGTCAAATCTGCGTGTTAGATCGGTGTGCTCCTGAACGTGGCCAAATTTATATACAGTGGGTACGGAAAGTATTCAGACCCCCTTCAATTTTTCACTCTGTTATATTGCAGCCATTTGCTA